CGGAAAAGGAGAGGGAGGAAAGAAAGAAAGAAAGAAAGAAAGAAAGAAAGAAAGAAAGAAAGAAAGAAAGAAAGAAAGAAAGAAAGAAAGAAAGAAAGAAAGAAAGAGGTGCAGCACAGGGAATTTACCCGTGCAAAAGCGAAAGTGTTCCCTTGTACCAATTTCTTTGCCCAAGTGATCCCGAGCGAAGATGTTGCAAGGGGTCAGCTCCTCCACAGCCCGTATTTCGGGCTGGGAGGACAGAACCGAAGACAGAAACTCGGGCTGGGCTAAAGTCACTCTGCACTGCAACACCAACCAACCAACCAAACCTAAAACCCACCCATCTTTGACACGTTAGCAGCGCTAACTTTCCTGGGTAAACCTAATTGAACAGACCTGAGTAGGATTTGGGGTAGAGATTCTATGCAGAGGTGGCTGTCTGGGAGCTTGAAGTGGAGAACGGCAATGATGGAGTGTGCGTTTATGTGTGCTTTAAAATGAAACGGAGACCCTGATAACACTTACACAGTCTATGTGTGTAAGATTGGGTTCATGAGAACTAAAAATAAGGTGTGGTATCAGAGCTTACATCTTAATGTCCGTTGCTCCCATTTCCTAATCAACAGGGTGTTTTGGGAACAGAATTCTTTTAAAGGTCCGATTATTCCACGGCGTAACTGAGATCCCGTCTGGCTTTCAGTTCAGTTCCATTGCAATAAACGAGAGGGACTTCAAAAGTTCGGGGTCGTGTACATTTTTTGGTACATCCACGGACAGAGAAAAGAAAATGATGAGGCGGAGAAACTATGCAAACTCGGAGAGCTCGAAAGGCCTTCCCTACGGCTCTGGTCCCCAAAGCGAAGAATCAGCCAGTCCTCTTTTCTTTTCCAAAAGACATCGACTAACATTTTCTTCCCCGGAAATCTTCACGGTTTCTGAAGCGCTACTGGACGTGAATCAAACTATTCCTCTTCCATGATGAATTCAGATTCAGGAGAACTTTAATGAAACGCCTAGCCCTGGACAAGGCCGACCTTCGGGACATTGGTTGGACATAGTGATTTCTTGCTTCGGCCCCCCAGTTTTTTTAAAAAGTGTGTTGATTTGCAAAAGGAAACCGTGGGAAGCCAGATTCAATAGACAGACTCCCTCTTCCTGATTATATAGGCTCTCAGGGTAGTCTCATACTTCAAATTTAGAAATGTGTTCTGAGTGAGAATTAATTCTGTCTATCTGTATCTTCCCCCTCACCCCGCCAAAGATCTCACTTTCTCTCACACCCGCACACCCACATTTCCAAGCAGATAAAAATATACATAAAATGGTATCAAAATAAAGGAAAACTACCCTAGCCACCCACCCTAACTCCTAAAGCCGCAGTGCCTTTCTCCATCTTTCTCCCTCTAAACTGTGGAGTCTTGTGAGCAAAAATTCTACTTTGTGAGCTACTGGCATTAAAGTTGTGAGCCAGCAATTTGGCTACGACATAAATAAGTTTGCTCTGGAGCCATCCTTCCTGAGCGAAGACAAAAATGTGTGAGCCGGAGGCTAGAAAACTGAGCTAGCTCACACTAAAAGTCAACTTAGAGGGAACAATGGGTTTCCTCTCGTCGAGTTTACTCTCACAACCAATGCTCCCGCTAAGCTGTAGAGTCTTGTGAGCAAAAGTGCTACTTTATGAACTACTGGCATTAAAGTTGTGAGTTTGCTCCGGAGCCCTCCTTCCTGAGCTAAGACAAAAAAGTGTGAGCCAGAGGCTAGAAAACTGTGAGCTAGCTCACACTGACTCAGCTTAGAGGGAACACTTCTTTTTGACAATGAATGCTGGTGG